AATCGATTCTCTTCCATTGCCAATAATTTGTAGGGGATTATTATATATTTTAGATTAGTGGGTCTTTGGAAAGAAGTTAAGTAACAATATTCATTCTTCGTATGAAATGTTATGCTATGTTTTGATCATCAATTTTGATAAACATTGAAAGAATATTAATTTTATTTTTAAACCAACAGCTAGCAACAATTGAAAGATTTATTCGAAAGGATTTGAACATTTTGAATGTTTTTATAATGATTAAGTATGTCAGGACTGATGATTGCTTAATATTGAAGACTATGCAAATTAAGATGTTTGTTTGATCGATTTAAGTTTGAAATGTTTTGTTCTGAAAGGAATTTTTAGATCCTTGAAATTATATCATTCATTGAAAGATTATAGCAAATCTCAAATCTCGGAAGTTTGTAATTTATCTCACGGGTCTCATCGTAAAACTTGGTTGTAGCGATGGTTGAAGTACTAAAGTCAGATCTAGTTTCAGCGCTCCTAATTCGTTAAGCTACTCAATCTATATATTGCTTCAGTAAGTTTTACACACTTACATTATTGCTTACATGGCTCTTTACCTTTCAGTTTGCTGCTACAAAAAGTCAATCATCACTAAATGCGTTAACATAATCATTTGGCTCTTAAATTGTCGTGAAACAATTGTCATGGAAATCTGATACATACGCATTTTTCAGTCTATCATCTTTCCCTCAAAACGTAACATCGTCACACTTTGTTCCTACCTTAAATGAGTTAAACACCTCAACAAACATAATCGATGCTCATTCATAAAATGTTTTCAAGTTCGTCACTTACTCGTGCATTGAATTTTAATATGTTTGCGCTTAAAGAATTACTTTTTCACTTTCAATTGTGACTTTTTTTACGGTACACGCAAAACATTTTACTCAATTTAAATAAAGTTCCCTTAATTGAGGAAATGCTGTTGATTACCTACTTTTAAACATATTGTTTCGTCACATAAAGCAAGTCTACAAATTAAATAAAATAATTGCGCATTCTCAATGATCTTAATTCAAATGACATGAACGGGGAGGCACAAATTAGATGCCAAAAATAACCACTTTAAAGGTTGTTGGAATGTAGCAAATTATTGAGTGCTATAATACAATGTAATGAGCTGAAGATGAGCTTGTGGATCATAACATCTGAATTACTTGCAGGCCATTTGTGGATGAATGAATTAGTTTTTTTGTGCCTCATTTAAAGCAATTTATAGTAAAACTCGTAAAACTTAAACGACTTGAACTTTTAAATGGAAATTGTGAGGTTAAAAAAATGTCCAATCTCTATAATTAATGAAATTGGCTGTGACTTAAGTCTTTGAGAATATTATGATGGTGTAAAATGTCAAGTAAGTTGTCATTTTGTTAAATTAATTTGAAAGAATTTTGCCTCGAGTTTCCAAGAAAATGTTTTTGAGGTTTTTAATACCTTCCCAAAGTTGGCATGATTTGTAGAGTCTCATATTCCCTCCAATTCATCATTATATTTCAAGATGTTTGTTACAAAAGGTTTGTGCAGCACTTATTGTTATACTCTAGTTAGATTTTAATACCCCTATAATTATACTTTGAAGGTACTGAATTCCTTTATTATTGAGAATGAAGCATGCCTTTAACCATATGTATCAATGCAACAAAATATGAATAAACAGCTGCTAAATCATTAGAGCGCATCAATTACAAAACGTATGAGTTTTGTACATTAGCTATTAGAAGCAAATGACACAGGGTGTATTTTGTATGCAACTGATGCTTACTAATTATGAACGAGTTTAGAATAATTGCGAAACTTGCTTCAGTTAATTTGTCAATAATTTTTCATTCCTGCAAATTGATTTTTCATTAGCGTAGATGCAAAAAAAAAATTACGGTGATTTTTTTCTCCATGCGAGTGCAAGATTTATTGGCACATCATTTTAAATTATGAATCTACAGATGAGATACCAGGGACATCGGATGTTATGATGCTAGATTGGAATTATACAAAATTGCAAAAAGTGAATTGGTTAAAATTTTAAAATTTATACTTTCACAACTATTTTTGGAATATAAAGTCTAACTTGAGGTATGTGATGTTTTCGGCAGTATAAGGTCAAGTAAAATTTAAGAGAATTTCTGAACCATAAAATGAATTCATGTGAGATTTTAAAAAAAATCAGTGTGTACATTTTTGCATTAAGTACTTAAAGCTACCAAAATTATTTTAAGGTGTTGTGAATTTGACACATGCTGAAATCCGTTCCATAATTTAAAACATGAGAAGAATCATTGCCGTTTTTAATGTTGTTGCAACAATTCCATTCATTAAAATTTTGATGGCTTTTGACTGTCGATATATATTTTATTTTTCAAGAACGAGTCTAATAGATGAAGTAGATCTTAATTAAAATTCACTTTCATGGGAGTCTTGATCCAATTTTATTCGCTTTTAACGTTCTTTGCCTTCCTTTTTCCTAAAAGCCTGTGCAACAAGTTGATGAACTTATATCCATTTACAAAGCTGTTGACTGGATTAAATTAATTATTTTCTGGTCTATTAATGAAGATGTCAATGAACGTAAATATTTAGATCTTGTATCTGCTTCTACGAATTTTGTTTGATCAATACATTTGCAGCACAGCCACTCACATCTCCAAAGTGTTGGCTCATTTGCATTAAATTTTTGCACAACACTAAGAATCGGACTTGGGCAAATCCGCGGGCAATAAAACGCTTCAAAATTTTGTTTTTCTCAAATTTCTCTCCTATTTGACTTTTAAAGTAATGTTTTAATACCAAATCATGCGTAATTTTGAAAAATGAACAACTTTTGATACTTAGCACAAGATTAAAACATTTAATTAAAGAGATATTTTGAATTTAATAGCGTTAATCGATCCTGCGCACGAAAATTTCATTTTGAAAAATCCAAAAAAAATACATGTTTAACGAGTTAGACAATATGGCTTGCAAGTTATTGCATTGGAAATGCAATTTTGTATCATAAATTGACATCATTTCTTAAATATACGTACTCAATTTAAAGTAATTAACAAAAAATAGCGTTAATCGATCCTGCAGAACGTTTTATTGCGAAACTCAAGATAATGCATTGTTGCAAAACACAATAATATTTAAAATTTTAGAAAACGTTGGAAAATTTTCAGTCCTACAATTCATACATTATCATACATATAACTGTGCTGAACATATATTAAACTTTAATTATAAACTTTTCTGCAATAATTTATTGATAAAAACCATCCAAAATAATTTAAGCAACAGAATAATAACTTTTTATGAAGAAATTTTAACGTATTTTATTTTATTGAATTCAAACAAGTAGAAAAATATTACAACTCGCTTTTTCCCAGTTCATGCTTTCTGCGGATTTGCCCACTTACAGTTGGCATGAAAATGCTTACAATACTTTGGCAATGAGTTTGCCGACCACAATTGCGTTAATGATGTTCCTGACATGGATATTTTTTGCTTCTTTACTTAGATCGTTTTTAAAACTGCAAGATTAAATTAATTAAAATTTTTTATGCTTCTTAACTTTCAATTTCCATCGTCGGTATGAAAATTATTATTATTTTTCTGTGGTTAATACCAAAATAGGAAGTGATCATCGTTAGAAGTCATTCCTAATGAAAAACAAAATTAAATGATATTGTCAGTCATAAAGATGTTCCCAACATTCATTCAAGAGCAAACTTAAAACTCTTATTCTATCGGATTCAAATAAAAAATTAATTATAAAGCATCCAAAGGTTTAATTTAGATAATCAAGGTCGTCTGCTAAGCTGTATCCAAATGATGAGTAAAGCAAGAAGCCTCTCGTCTCATTACGTAATAACTGTGATTATACTATTTTTTTTTTCCTTTTGCTAATTCCTTTGTATTTCTTTGACCTTTTCCGGTTCTTATGAAAAAACAAGTGAATAAGAATTAACATCTTGCTGCATATGAGATTAATATGATTGAGAGATGTTCTTACCTGTTTGTTATTTAAGTTGCAATGTTTTAAATTGAAGTTTAAGGAGGTTTGAACAAATTAAATATGATTTAATCTAGCTGATCATTTGTGCTTAATAATTTATTAAATCATTGTTAAGACTTTGTAAATTGACGCCTCGTAGCTAATGTGTAATTGATTTTTGAAATATATCAGAAATGTTATGTCAAGACCCTTTTTACTTGTCATAAATATATAATTCATAAGTAGGTGACGTATATTTTCAGCGAGGGATAGGAGTTAAAATTCTTTGAAGAAGCTACTTTACTACTATAATAATAATTCCAATATAACAAAGAACCAGTCACTTCATGAAATATAAACTATTTCCGAAAAGTATAACAAACAATCTTTATGATTTAATGGATATAAGAATCAAGCATTTTCAGTCAATAAAACCTTTTTGCCGGTACTGACCACACAAAATCTTCAATATTTACACAATGTAAAAGATTATAAGCTCAAAAAGTACGAAATAATCAAGATACTCAATAGATGTAAATTAGTTCTTATTTCTTGAGATGAACACAATTGGCATGATTATACAAAGTAATAAAGTTCTCATCCTCAATCCTTCAAAATTGTTATTACCGGGAGTTTTTTTTTTGCGATTGAATGATTGGACTTAATTATCCGGTTAGTTAATTCCCATTTACACCTGTCTATTAAAAATATCTGTACCTTACTTTTGAGTTGTTCTGAGAAGTCAAAAGCACAAAAAAATACATAAGTAAAGCATGTGTAAATTTGTTGTTATTTATGACATCAACAATGTTGTTGTTACTTAATTTTTTTTTTCACTTTCATTTGAGAACATCTTGGCGTTTTGAGAGATCTCGATCCCCTCCGCATCGAGTATTCAACTTGTTGCTCTCCAGTGTTCTCTCAATGTCTAAGCTCACTCTCTGAAAATTCCACTGTTGAAAGGAAAAAAAAAACGCATCTTCGATATGAAAAGCTGTGTTGTGTCTACTCCATCGTTTGTGGTTGAAGAAGAATTTTTTTGATATAAAATAGGTGCCAACCTCACTTTAAGCATCAGTTTAATTCCTGTCTTCAAGAAGTCAAGTGTAGTGAGCTACCAGTTGAGGATTTTTGAAGAAATTTAAGTTTATTTTGTGCAACAATGAAGGTACGAGTCAAGAATATATGGATTATAAGTTTTGTGAAGTTTGGAAGTGATTTTTTTTTTTCAATTTTAAAGTTAAAGCTAAGAATTCGAATTTGGAATTTTCGATAAAAAATTGTTTAAATTTCAATAAAAGATGCAGTAATTGAAATTAAATAGAAGTTATGGACTTTAGAAATCAAAAGTGAAAAAGTGGTATACTGAAAATATTAAAAGTGAAAAAATGAATTTAAAAAAATTCTAATTTTGAATTTAACGAGCATTATAAAAAAAGTGAAATCTAAGTCAAAAAAACCTCAACTTAATCAAAAAAATTAAGATATTCTAAAACAAACCAAAAAAAAATCTTTGATTATTACAAAATTTAAAGCTTAGAATTAAAGAAAAAAATCCCCAATTCTATAAGACTTAACTACATCCTCGAGTGAATAAAAAAATTAATAAAATAACTTTCAATACAAATAAAATTGCAGGTGTTTATCTGCTTATTGGCATGTGCTGCAGTTGCTTCTGCAACATTCAGCAAAGGCTGGTCCTCAGGAGGTGGAAATAATGGATGGTCGTCAGGTGGAAGCAGTTCCTATGGTGGAGGAAGTAGCGCAGGATGGCCCCAAAAATCGAGTGGTGGATGGTCAAGCGGAGGTAAAAATAAATATTTTTTAAAAAAAGAATCTTGTTTAAATTGCAAGTCGTAAAAACATAACTTAGCTTTAGATATGATCAGAATATTAAATTTTTGAGACACAAAATAATTTGACAGTGCATCAAAATCGTGATTTGAATTAAAGTTTTGTGAATATAATCTTTTTGCTTAAGAATATGAATTTTAATAGTCAGACAAGCTTGACTTTATGTTTAGGAAAAAATTAAATACTCTCGTAGAAAATCTAGTTAAATTTTTAAAATGTCTAAAGCTTCTATTGTCAAAAATAACAATAACTGTGATTTTTCGCAAAACTTAAATTTAAAATTGTTTAAATCACAATTTTTTTCATCTATTCCATTAACATTTCTTTTCAAATAGGATTCGGAGGTGCCAAATCAATTGGAGGTAATTTATAAGAACTAGCTTGAAAAAATGAGTTTAAAATTATCAGAAACTTTTTTGTTTTAATAGGCTATGGTGGAAGTTCTCTAGGGGGCGGATATGGGGGTAGTTCAAGTGGCTGGAAACCAGCTTCAACAGGTATTTTTTTGCAATCAATATTTTCTAATTTCATTTTATTAAAATAAACTTTTTAAAGGATGGAGCTCAGGAGGTGCAAGTCAAGGTTGGAGTTCTGGTTCAAGCGGATTTGGAGGGGGTTATGGTGGAAATTCAGGAGGGTATGGGGGAAGTTCAGGGGGATCATATGGCCATGGGGGTAGCTCACAGGGTCTCGGAGGAGGTAATTTGATTTACAGATTGAAAAAAGTTTCAAAAACTGATAAAAATTTTACATTTTAATAGGACAAGTTATTAAAATAATTAAAGTCATTGCACCTGCTCCACAATCATTTGGAGGAAGCTATGGCGGTGGACACTCTTCAGGTAAAACAATAGTCAATTATTTCCCATTAATTTTTGTATTTTTGAAATAATTATTGCAATAATAGGCGGTTTTGGAGGATCATCACTTGGAGGAGGTAAAATGAAACTTTTTTAAATGATTTAAAGCTAGTTAAATTATTCGATTCTATTCTCAGGGCATGGTGGTAGCTCTTCATACGGAAGTAGCGGATCATATGGAAGTGGCTCATACGGAGGTGGTATGTACAATTTTTATTGTTTTAAATCAAATTTTATAAAATCGAAATATTAAATTTTCAGGCCATGGAGGTTCAAGCGGTTGGCAATCAGCCTCATCAGGTAATTTTTCCTATACTGATTTTGTCATCCTAAAGATTACTAATATAATAATAATAAAAATTATAATGTAATAATAAAAATAATAATATTTAACACTCTCTAGGTCTTGGATCAAGTGGCTGGCAACAAGGAGGATCCTATGGTGGATCAAGCGGTTTAGGAGGTAATATTTAAATAAATTATTTTTAATTTTAAAATGAGTGCCTATTAAAGTAACGAATTTTTGAACGTCGGTTTTTAATAAGCATTCTTATAGAATCATGAATTTATTTTTTGTATACAGGTGGTTATGGTGGATCTAACGGATGGTCATCAGCAGGAAGTTCAGCTGGTAGTTACGGTGGATCATCTTCAAAAGGCTGGTGGTAAACAGTAATCTTAAATATCGATCATCAAATCCATTCAAAAAATGCTCATAGATCATTTCTAAAATGCTGTAAATTATGCTCCCTACTTGTAAATTGTGATTGCTTAGTGAATCAAGCACTTGTTCTTGTACAGAAAGATCTTCAAAATTGTGTTATAAAATAATTCGAAAGAGAAATAAAGAGTTTTTGTTCGAAAAAAATTAAAACCAGCTAGTCAATAAATTAATTCTTTGCAACTTTCAGTTCCTTTATTATTAAAACATTGAAAAAATTCGCGTAAGGATCATGACACCGAAATAATAATTCTGCGAAATTTTCTTCCACAAAACTTTATTCCTTAGAACTTTGTTCTGCAGAACTTATTCTGCAGAATTTTTTCCACTTAAATAATTTTTTAAGCAAATTTTTTTTATATTCACACCGTTTTCACGTGTGAATCTATTGGTTGTGTTTAGATTGAAAAATCAGTTTTTTGAATTTTGTGAGGATGTGGAGCAAGATAGCTTAAAATGTTCAGAAATGAAAAGTTTGTGCCTTAAATTTCACATCTTTTGCAAAAAACAGATTTCAAATTGGTTGCGGCATTGCTGAGAAAATCGCAAAATATGCTTTCTGTAAGCAAGCAAACAAGCAAGCAAGTTAATCAGCAAGATATCACAATAACGAGACATTGTAGAGACTTCTAGTTTTTTACATTTGATCCGTGCTGCTCTATAGAAGAGCTGTATTGTTTTTAGGCAAGGTAGGAACAGCCGTTGCTTCAGAAAAAGCAAAAAACTTTCCTTTCTTACGAATTTTTCAAATTAAAAGTTCACTGTGATTTTTTTTAAATTAAACTTTAAATTAAACTTAGGGCGCCCCAAGTCAAAATCAATTTTGTCTGTTTTGTATAAATATTAGTCTCAAACAAAATTTCACTGTAATTGGATAAACCTTCGAAGAAAAAAAAGTGAAAAACTAGATTTTGACTAGACCTGTCCTAAGTTCATAATTGAAAATGTATTTCCTTCTTGATTCTTTGCTCAAAAAAATTTTAGGATATTTTATTTGTATTTGTTTAAAGCACTAGAATATTAATGCAAAGTTTCAATCCATTTGGATAAACCCTCGAAGAAAACAGTGACAAAATTGATTTTGACTAGGGTCGCCCCTAGTTCATAATTGAAAATGTATTTCCTGCTTGGTTCTTTGCTCAAAAAAATTTTATGATGTTTTATTTGTATTTGTTTAAAGCACTAGAATATTAATGCAAAGTTTCAATCCATTTGGATAAATCCTCGAAGAAAAAAGTGACAAAATTGATTTTGACTAGGGTCGCCCCTAGTCCAAAATTGAAAATGTATTTCCTTCTTGGTTCTTTGCTCAACAAAAATTTAAGATATTTTATTTGTATTTTTTTAAGCACTAGAATATTTATGCAAAGTTTCAATCCACTTGGATAAACCCTCGAAGAAAAAAGTGACAAAATTGATTTTGAATAGGGTCACCACTAGTCCAAAATTGAAAATGTAATTCCTACTTGGTTATTTGCTCGAAAACATTTTAGAATGTTTTATTTGTATTTGTTTTAAGCACTAGAATATTTATGCAAAGTTTCAATCCATTTGGATAAACCCTCAAAGAAAAAAGTGACAAAATTGATTTTGACTAGGGTCGCCCCTAGTCCAAAATTGAAAATGTATTTCCTTCTTGGTTCTTTGCTCAAAAAAATTTTAGGATATTTTATTTGTATTTGTTTAAAGCACTAGAATATTTATGCAAAGTTTCAATCCATTTGGATAAACCCTCAAAGAAAAAAGTGACAAAATTGATTTTGACTAGGGTCGCCCCTAGTCCAAAATTGAAAATGTATTTCCTTCTTGGTTCTTTGCTCAAAAACAAATTAGGATGTTTTATTTGTATTTGTTTTAAGCACTAGGATACACACGACAAAATTGATTGTGACTAGGGTCGCCCATAGTCGAGCACTAGGATATTTTATTTGTATTTGTTTAAAGCACCAGAATATTTATGCAAAGTTTCAATCCATTTGGATAAACCCTCGAAGAAAAAAGTGACAAAATTGATTTTGACTAGGGTCGCCCCTAGTCCAAAATTGAAAATGTATTTCCTTCTTGGTTCTTTGCTCAAAAAAAATTTAAGATGTTTTGTTTTTATTTGTCTTAAGCACTAGAATATTTATGCAAAGTTTCAATCCATTTGGATAAACCCTCAAAGAAAAAAGTGACAAAATTGATTTTGACTAGGGTCGCCCCTAGTCCAAAATTGAAAATGTATTTCCTTCTTGGTTCTTTGCTCAAAAACAAATTAGGATGTTTTATTTGTATTTGTTTTAAGCACTAGGATACACACGACAAAATTGATTGTGACTAGGGTCGCCCATAGTCGAGCACTAGGATATTTTATTTGTATTTGTTTAAAGCACCAGAATATTTATGCAAAGTTTCAATCCATTTGGATAAACCCTCGAAGAAAAAAGTGACAAAATTGATTTTGACTAGGGTCGCCCCTAGTCCAAAATTGAAAATGTATTTCCTTCTTGGTTCTTTGCTCAACAAAAATTTAAGATATTTTATTTGTATTTTTTTAAGCACTAGAATATTTATGCAAAGTTTCAATCCACTTGGATAAACCCTCGAAGAAAAAAGTGACAAAATTGATTTTGAATAGGGTCACCACTAGTCCAAAATTGAAAATGTAATTCCTACTTGGTTATTTGCTCGAAAACATTTTAGAATGTTTTATTTGTATTTGTTTTAAGCACTAGAATATTTATGCAAAGTTTCAATCCATTTGGATAAACCCTCAAAGAAAAAAGTGACAAAATTGATTTTGACTAGGGTCGCCCCTAGTCCAAAATTGAAAATGTATTTCCTTCTTGGTTCTTTGCTCAAAAAAATTTTAGGATATTTTATTTGTATTTGTTTAAAGCACTAGAATATTTATGCAAAGTTTCAATCCATTTGGATAAACCCTCAAAGAAAAAAGTGACAAAATTGATTTTGACTAGGGTCGCCCCTAGTCCAAAATTGAAAATGTATTTCCTTCTTGGTTCTTTGCTCAAAAACAAATTAGGATGTTTTATTTGTATTTGTTTTAAGCACTAGGATACACACGACAAAATTGATTGTGACTAGGGTCGCCCATAGTCGAGCACTAGGATATTTTATTTGTATTTGTTTAAAGCACCAGAATATTTATGCAAAGTTTCAATCCATTTGGATAAACCCTCGAAGAAAAAAGTGACAAAATTGATTTTGACTAGGGTCGCCCCTAGTCCAAAATTGAAAATGTATTTCCTTCTTGGTTCTTTGCTCAAAAAAAATTTAAGATGTTTTGTTTTTATTTGTCTTAAGCACTAGAATATTTATGCAAAGTTTCAATCCATTTGGATAAACTCTCGAAGAAAAAAACGACAAAATTGATTATGACTAGGGTCGCCCCTAGTCCAAAATTGAAAATGTATTTCCTTCTTGGTTCTTTGCTCAAAAAAATTTTTGGATGTTTTATTTGTATTTGTTTTGAGCACTAAGATATCTATGCAAAGTTTCAATCCATTTGGATAAACCCTCGAAGAAAAAAGTGACAAAATTGATTTTGACTAGGGTCGCCCCTAGTCCAAAATTGAAAATGTATTTCCTACTTGGTTCTTTGCTCAAAAAAATTTTATGATGTTTTATTTGTATTTTTTTTAAGCACCAGAATATTTATGCAAAGTTTCAATTCATTTGGATAAACTCTCAAAGAAAAAAGTGAGAAAATTGATTTTGACTAGGGTCGCCCCTAATCCAAAATTGAAAATTGATTTTCTATGGTGTACTTTGGTCAAAAAAATTTTTTGGATGTATTATTTGAATTGACATAATTCTGACATAAATCACATACTAATATTACTTTTTGTAATGCATAGCTTAAAAAAAATCGAAATCTAAAATTTCCGAGATTTGGACCAAATCAGTTATACTGGTTCATAGTGTTCCCGAGGGTGACAAAATTCAAACTAGGTGTTTTTGTAGCTGACATAATTATGGCATAAATTAGGTATAACTTTGAACTGTGTCGATATGGGTCTCGGCCGTGCTTCACGCCCACCCTTCAAACTTATGCTGAGCAAATCTTGGTCTATCCATAAGACTTTTGATGGTACGTGTGAATATATCCGCATTGGGTTTCTACCCGATACACTAGTTTCTATTCGCCTTAGCGAACTAAAGCGAACTCAATTTTCTTTTTTCTTGCTTTAGCGAACTATTTGCGAACTTATTTTTTTTTGCTTCATATAAAAGTTTTTTCTGATTGCGTTTGTGAAGTATGTAATTTCATAAATACAGGGAGCAACAATTTAATTTTTTTATTGTCAGGAAACGTCTTATTCTCAAAAAAATGTGTAATTTGCTTAACTTCTTTCTCATATTTCAATTTATTGTCAGCTGTTTTGTCTTTGCTTAGTTTATGGGCAGCTTTTGTGGACGCAAATGCTTGTTCGTATGTGTGTGGATCAAGGACAATAATATCAGTATTTCCTGACTGTTGTTTCATAACGTCGATAAGAAATGTTATGATTGCAGAATAAACTTCTTCATTCAGTCCCAATGATAGAAAATCTTCGGTGTTGACTAAGTGAGTTTCTGTATGAATTAATGTATCTGCTTCAGTTTTTGTTATTGGAATATTTTCCCAAATATTTTCGCATGGTTGTAAAACTTTCAGTGGTTGTTCTGAATAAGCATTTATTGTATCTACTGTCACACAGTAATATAATCCACCGTATTTTATTTTATGATAGACTTTTATCATGCCAAACGAATTAATTCCTTTCTCATTTAAAACGTCCTTAATGTTGGTTCTTTCTTCGATTTTGATTATTATTAAAAAGCTTCTTTGAGTCTTACTTAACACTTGAACAAAAAGTATTTCAGCCCCGTCAATCGGATCAATAAATTCAGAATTAATTAGAAATATTTTTTGACTTAAATACCGGCTCAATTAAACTTTAATTAATTGGTCAGCATATTTTTGTAAACTTACTTACTTCCTTGGCTGGGGCGCACGTGGGCCCATTGCCGCTCTTAGAGATCATCTAAAGACAGCTCTATCCTTAGGAACCTTCTGCCAGTTCGGGATATTAAGGACAATAAAAAAATTAAATTGTTGCTCCCTGTATTTATCAAACCACTGAAGATTATTGAGCAGGATAAAATTAACCAGCCAATGTAATTCAATTCTTCAAATTCTCCCAAACCGAATATGATTAAATATGAATCGAATTTGCTCCATCATAATGACATTCTTTTTTCCACAATAGCTTCACTGTTAGCAATTATAACTTCATTAAAAGCCAAGAATTCAGGACAGTTTTATACACCAGTGACTCAAATCATAAAACATCTTCAAGTAGAAAAAATTTAAGCATAATAATGGCGACACGGTACACGTTACAGGAATAAATATCAAGACACCTGCACAGGATGATGATACTTTGAATTGTGGAATATACATATATGCATACAAAATGCAAAAAAAAACTATATACATAAATTTAGTTATAAAAAGCCAAAATTATCAATTTCACATCATGATATTAAGCCAGTATTAAAAGAATCAGCAAGACATAATATAGATTAAGGATGATGAATAAAATTTATGCGATTTATTCAGTAAATTTTACTAAATCTTATGTTCAGCTTCAAATTCGGCGAGACTTTGTAGCAATTTGAGTTTTACTGCTGTTTTAAGGTGCTGTGGTATTCTTTTCAGCATACAACCCAAAGTGTTTCCAAACGTTAGGTCTTCATCGTTGTCTGTAACATCCATTGGATTGCGCATTGAAGATTGTGACTCTGTAAGTCTAACACTTTTGACTAATGGCTGATTTTGAATATCCTCTGACATTCGACGCTTTTTGATCATTACTTTATTATCTGTAAGTAAGCTATCACGCTTAATCCAGTGGTTTTTTGATATTTCTTCCATTGCAACTACATTATCGACTTCCTGTCCCATTAATTCATGTTCATCTTGATCGTTTTGTGAACATTCAACAATTTCCTCTATAAATTCGTCGTCATGTACATCGACATGCTCCTCTAAAACTGTTTCCTCGTATCTCAACGAACTTTCCAAATCATCGTTATCATCAATGTAATGAGCAAAGCTCTGTTCAGTCACAATTTCAATATTTGTATTATCCTCAAACTTTTGTTCCTTTTGGGCTATAAATGGTTTTGTGTCACATTGCTCGTACTCATATCCTCTCGAATCTTCTGAATCATCAAAATGAGCTTCTACCTCATACTTTTTACTACGCACGTGATGTGTAAGGAACAGCATTTCACGAAAAAATGAGGAACAATTTAGTTGAGTTTCAGTATCAGCATTTTTGGATCTTCGTAATTCTCGAACAAATCTATCTCTCATGACACGCCATCTCTTTTGTAGTGTATCAATATCCCAATTAACTATAGCTGATACCTCATCCCATGCTTTTTTTCTAGCACTTCCAACTCGAAAGTCTTCGTGCTTCTTATCAAATAATACGGGTCTTTCCTTGACCAACTGAATTAATACTTGCTCATCCAGTGGACTTTTTGTTACTATACATGACTTATCAGATCCAAAAGATTCTTCTGATTTGTACTTTTTGGATTCATGCTTTAAATTTACGAATGGCTCGAGAAATGTTAATGAATCATAGAGATTCCAATGTGAGTTTATTTCCTCCAATATCTGCTTCCGATATGCTAGAGAAAACTTTTCCCTAATTACCTTCCATCGCTTTTGAACTAGATTTTCTAGATGATAAATGTTTTGTATTAGTTCCAGCAATCATTAATAATAAGATCCAGTGATACTTACGATCTTCAACATTCAGTATTTTTGCAATGCTTGACCAGATTGTTGATCTTAATGGTAAATTTCTATAATCAGTGCTTCGAGTATCATACAGGAAGCTGTGCTTACTGACTTCCTCAATAAGTTTTTCATCGTCAATAAAAGGACCTTTGAAATAGAATGACAACTTGAATATTCAGCATTTATTCAATGCATAAGCACTATTACCTTCTTGCTTTAGCTTAAACTTTATCATTTCTTATCCAAAGACTTGTTCAAAATAGGAAACTAAGTTACAGTTTGATTTATTATCGTCTTTTTTAAAAACACACAGAATTGTAAACTTCAATTAGGGGGCGATCAACTTATTTCTATGCTTTATTTTCTTAAAAAAATTCAAATACTTCATTTAACGGATTTTCTCAAAATTTAATTGATCTTCGTTTTCATCTTCGTCTAGTTCCTGTTCATATGGTTCCTGATATCTGCCTTCAATTTTGTCAATTTCTTCTTTGTAAATATCTACAAATGTTTCGTACTCTTCTAATGTTACATGACATAATTTTGTAGCAAATCTTTTGTCACTGGAATCGACAATTTTTGATAGTTTTGGATTCTTGTTAATTTCATGTGCATCATTCTTATCTCCTTGCTTCTTTTTAAAGTACATCCCGAGTCTTTCAAGGAACATGTGACGAGTTTTGATTTTTAATAAATCATACGAAAATACATCAGACTTGTAAACTTCAACTGGATCTACTCGCATGACATCCTGTAAATACTCTATTTTCTCTTTAAGTAAATCTGTTTGTTCTGTTGCGACATTCGGTGAGTTCCTCAATACTTTATATCCATTCTTTTGTCCAACAAAGCTATTAATTACTCCTAAATTGGCATTTGTCAGATGAAAATTTCTAACATCCAGCAGTTCTGGATATCGTTCCAAAAGCTGAAATGTAAGTTTTTCACCAAAATTAAAGGCTCGCCACTGATTCATAGCTGTTGATAGTTTGTCTTCTGATTTAATTAAGATTTTTGGATGTTGAGATGCCATGTGAGCGAATTTATTTGCATTAAACCCAATCCTTCTGAGTGTATTGAATGATTTCTCCCATTGTTCTGCTGGATATCTGCTCAATTCAGGCGCGACTGTAAGCAATTCATTCACATTTCCAAGATATTTAGACATTGCAGAACTTGATAAACTTTGTATCTAAAAAGTGAATTATCTATTAATACAGCTGATGATTTTTATCTTTATTACTTTACCAGATTAGAGTTGGATGCAGACGAGAAAAATCTCATGCTAAAACCTTGTGTAAATAGCTTTAAAGTCATGATTTATTTTAAAAAAATAATTCGTAGCTTTTTTGTTTACAAATTTTTCTTTTAAAACATTTTTTTCTACGCTGAATCAGAATGAATTCAAATATGTTCAGTTGGAATATTAAGCGCAATAAATGTATGTTCGTGCCATGCTGTATGTATTATAATTTTACTGTAAGTAAGAAATAAATGCCAACGGATTTGTAAAATTCAAATGAAACCGGGTTTCAAAAAATTTGATAATGTTTTTTGAATTTATTCAAATTTAATAAAGGCGTTGAATTTGAAAAAGATGAATAAATTTAAAACAATAAATATTTGAATAGCTTTTTAAAAGTCATCCCATTATCAATTCTAGACGCTTTATTTAGTCACATTCAATTTTAAGTATACCATAGTTTTGCATGAAACGAACCTTCGCATGAGCATTATTAATTAATTTTTCTTTTGGTAAGATGTGAGCAAATTTACGAAAGAAACAGTTTTTAGCGGACCTATGAGTTGAAAATTCCCTATTTGTACGTATTGTCATTTGAATCTTAAAGAATAAAAGAATTGCCGTGCATGGCAAGTTAGTATTTCTCATTAATGGCTGAACAGTTTTCTCGTGACAGTCATCATTCATGACGATTGAAGCTATTCTAAATTCATCTGTCAATTTCTCGTACTCATGAAAGTGTTCAATATCTAAAAATAATTCAGTGGAATATTCATTGATATATTTATCTATTTTAAGTTTCTTAATATTTTCATTTACGACACTACAAGACGTTGACAGCCAATCACTATTGATGAGCTCGCCAAATAGACTAATTTTATATGGAATCAAGAGGCTACTGTCACTACTCAGGAGTTTTTGATATAAAATAAAATTATTACATATGTCACTATTTAAGTCACCAAGCTCATGAAATGGATTTAATATAATTAAGTCAAATCGAGCATCAAGGAATTCAGATAATTCATTCTCGTCCACAAAAACAATTTGTTTACTGTCTATACAATTTTTCGTTGCCAATAACTTCAATATATTCTCATTATTCTTAGAACACCAAAGCTGCTCGGCACGCGATTCTTTTAGCATTAAAAATCCAATATATGGAAAAGGTGACAAGTCAAGGCAATTCTTAATATTTCCTTTGTACTCATTTGCTGCATATTCTAAATGCTCCAGGTAATCTTCATCATTTAAGAATTTAAGGATATATGGATCTATAGGAATGTTCACAGTATCCAAATGTTCATCAATTGTATGATCAATTTTAAGGATTCCATCTCTACAAGAGATTGTTAATTTTATTATTTCATATTTTTGCAAAAGAACTCTCTCGCGTAGCTTAAAAATGGCTTGATTCCAGCACGAATTGGATTGTGGCTTTGTCGAGATAACATTTGTCGGGTCCATTTCATTTAAAAAGAGATCAAACCAAACAACAAAGCCATCCAGGTAGTCATTAGCTTCACTTTGTAGCTGAAAGTTTTTCATAATAATCCCATCAAAGTGCTGATTCATAGATTTGATTGAGTTAAAGTTTACTTCTAATGGACTACTTGTATTTGTCACTAACCGAAAGTCTTTAATTCTATCGACATACTCTGCATCATATGGTTCTGTATTATCAGCTACTAATCGATAATTATCAAGAAATATATACTCATTAAAGGTATCATTAAGTAGAATATGATTAGAACATAAGGATTTAGAGTTATATCCAGTAACATAGATTATAACTTTATGAGGCACAATTTTACCGTCCGCTTTAAGTAGATTCTCCTTTGCATGAATAAAAGTATCTAAAATTCCTTCTCCAAAGACACCACAATCGAGGATTTCCGAATAAACTAGCGATGCTTTTGATTTTATATCCTTTCCAATTTCAATATCAATTGAATTCTTATTAATTAATTCTATTTTTTTAGACTGATTGTTATCATTAAATACTTTTGTTGCAATGTTAGACATCACTGAGTCAGCTTCGATTGCATTAATGCTCTTGACATTCTCACTTTCTGCTGCATATAGTGATAATAAGCCAGTTCCAGTTCCAATGTCAATCACTTCATCTTTGCCTTCCTTTTCAATCCAAAATTTTATGGCTTTTCGGAAAGCTTCATTTCTCATCTCATCGTTGAGCATTTTAAAGTGCCATCTTGGGATTTTAGATTTAATATTTTGTAGGCTTTGATAGGCTCGTAGATTCTTCCTGTCATTATCGTACGCTTGAGTGAATATCTCTCTCGCTTCCTCGTCTCGATTAAATCTAGAATAGTTATTTGTTTATAAATTGACATGTGAATGATTAGCAATAAAACTTTTAATTTGATATTTATTGCTGTAATTTTGATAAGTCTTGAGATATGCCGCAATGTGACATTGAATTGCTTCGTTATCATCAAATATATCCAGTGGAATGCTAAATGATATGACAATGTCATCATTTAATAAAATTTGGAAAACTTTGAGATCTATGTGACTTAAACAATTGGAATCGATGTTATTTGGCAAGTAGTACAGCACTGGATAGTTAATTAAATACCCAAAAATCGACGTGATACACCAATTATCATCCGAAATAATATCATAATTATTTAATTTTAATTGTTTTCTTATTTCTTCAAACATGACATTAAAGCTGTTCATTTTGTCTTGCGGCACTAACATTGGCTTGTCATTACTTCCGGAAACGTCAATAACAAATTTTGAGGAATTTTCACGTCCCAGTATTTTTTTAACATTGAGGATCAAAATATCTTGGGATAATGTCACAACTGTTATGTCACTTGATATTAGTCGTCGTTGTCTTAAAACGTTTAAAACTTGCTTTATACTAGCAACGTCGACATTCCCACAATCATACAAAAATGAATTTTTTAAGAGGTTTTCATCATTTACTGCTTGAAATTGATTTGATATGTGCCTAATCTGTTTCCACGATACTCTTTTTTTCATGTCTTTAAAGCAACGTCGTGTTATGTCATGAATTATGCAGTTTCTACAAGAAATTTTCATACTCAAAATTCTTCCCTTTTCAAGACGGATCTAATTTATGAATAATTTTATTTACTTACTTTACGAAAAATGACCCTAATTCCACTAGAATATTACTGTCTTGGCCATATAATTTTAAAGCAGTTTCAAAACATTTAAGGACTTCTGAGTGATTATCGTTTTTCTCCAATTCTGAGCTGTAATTAACAAATTTTTTATTATCTCACTTTTCTCATAAAATAGTTAAAGTCACTTACCAATAAGAGTTGAATATCAACGTAAATAGTTCCTTAAATTCATCTTTACTGTCTATATTACTCTCTATTCGCTCTATTATCGAATCCCACGACGAAATAATATTATTATGATTTGAATGCTCCATTTTTTTTGCACGCTAAAAACTCAACACCTGTTATGTTCGCAGGTGACTAATACGCATTTTGTACTGGTTTACTTTATTTAATATGGACTGGTTGTAGCTTAATTTAATTCAATAATATTTTTGAAATTTCTCAAATAATCAAGAAATTCATTCAAAAACCGTCTGTTAAATTCAAAATTTTGAAATACGTTACTCATTTATTTCTAAAACTGTCTATAATTTACTTCTTTTGATAATGTCATTGCATTGACAAGTCTTTAACTTTAAATAAGGGTTGTTAAATTAATTAAAAGCTATTTTCAAAATTTGATTGCGAGACAAACTGTCAAAATAGTTTTGAAAATTCAGCTAAGAAATTGCTTGCAACAAATTTTCCCGCTCAAAATGGCAAGGAATAATAAAAATAAAGAAATTAATAAGAACATCCAAAATAGCTTAACAAAGGTGTTTCTGCTTGACAGTAAGTATAATTAACATTAATATAATATCCTAAAATTACAAAACAAACTTCCAATTGTAGAAAAGTTGATCAAAGATGAAAATGAAATTTTCAAAATCGAATTGCCTCGAAAGATATCAATGTTCCTGAGATCACGTAATGATATTTACGAGCTACTACAGTTTAATGAAAAGAACAGATGCTTCTTTATTGACAATACAGTTTGTAATAATGGGAAAATCTATGTATCAGCAAAAATCGATCCATTATTCATATTTATTCAGTATATTGAGGCTCATTGCAAAACCAGAGCACAGCCATTGGATCAAGTACTTGAAAAGGATGCTATAATATTCTTGGATGTTCTTAAAATGGATCAAATGAGATTAGTAGCAGATCAGAAAGGTCCAGATGACTTAAAAGCCTTTATATTCAACGAAGAAAAAACGATTAAATGGCTCAAGATCAAATTCAAGAGAATCAAGGATTCTCTTAAGAAACAGAACATAATTAAAGCTGGATCCTCTTCAATGAATTTCGTTCAATCTACATTAGATTGTGATAATATAGAAAATGATGATGAAATAGAATCGACTGCTTTAGGTATCATTAGTGAATATATATCACTCGATTTATATGAGAAGCTTGACAATATTTTTGGTATCAGTGAAAAGACAAAGGAACCAATAGCTCAAAAGAGGAAGTCAGGCAATAATGAAAATGAACCAGACAGCAAAAAAATCAAATCAGAACTGGAAGAAGTATTAAGAGAGAATAAAGTACAAGCTGGAAAACCTGTTAAGAATGCAGCAAAGTTTGAGAAAGCGGCAAAAGGAACAAAATCCATCAGTTCTTTTTTTGCCAAAAAATAATTTTATTGTTAATTTAATGTTTATGCTAATTTACGTGTAATTTTTAATACAAGTAAATGTTCACCACGAATTTTTCTATCAATTATTTGATCTGAATTAAAGCCTAGCTTGTCAAGTTGGTCTCTAATTTTTTTAGGCTTATTATCCTTGATTAAAAGTAGGTAAAAGATCCCGTTTGGAGCTAAAATCTCATTTAAATTAAATATTACACGATTGATAACTTCACATCCATCAACTCCACCTGCCCAACTTTTAATCAACATCTTTTCATCTTTTTGGAAAACTTTTTCAGATTCATCGTCATACAATTTAGTCTGTTCTGGGATATTTGAATGACTTTCGCAGTCAGTTGGGACATAAGGAGGATTGAAAACTAGTAAATCAATTGAATTTGTCTTAAATGATGTCAGCAGGTCCATATTAAGCACTTCCACATTAACATTATTAACTTTAGCTGTTCTAGATGCTGCATCACATGCAAATTTATTAATGTCTATGGCATAGAACCCAAAAGACTGATAATTAAGATATCTAGAAAGAGCACTAATGACGACACCTGATCCAGTGCCAATTTCAGCGACAACTAATGGTTTATGAGATTTTAGGAATGGTAATTCAAGCTCTAAAGCATCTAATAAAATAAAAGTATCTTCAGCAGGTTCATAGACATTGTCATAGTCCTTAGAACTTAAATGCGAATAAATAGGAGTTTCCATTATTGTTGATTGGATTGATTAAGCGTAGTAACTCGTTCATTCATGGATAAAAGCCTGTCTTGTGCTGTCTGTAACACGTTTGACAATACAGTAACTCGACTTTTTATAGCATTAATAGATTTTAGAGCTCTTTCGAATTCCACTGTATCTTGCTTGGCCTGTCTACTGATCTGATCCTTAATGATTGATAAGAGGATCTCTATTTGAGCATTAACATTCAACTGGATTAGGCTATATTTACAATAATAATAGTTAAGAAACATTTGTTTACTTATTGTTTACTTAATGAATCACAAATAAAAAAGTTTACTTACACTGTTTGCTTAACTTTAGAGTCTAAATTCTCAACAATTGGACTGAAGAAGCCTAGAAAGCCTTCAGCAAGCAACTCTCTAGTTGGATTCTCTATAAAATTCTCAGTAATATCTTCATCCACTGAATTATCGCTATCAGACATCTCAAATCGAATTTAAAATAATATTTTTATTTTCACTTATAGTGTATGTGTATGTGTGTTTTTATGACTAGGTTTGTAAAAAGTGATAAAAGTAAAAAACGGTTTTCAAAAATTCAAAAAAGGCTTAGACGATTATTTCAAAATTCGAATATTTCAAAACTCAGCTCAACGATTTAGAATTATTGAAAAGTCGGAAAATACAGAGATAAGTTAATTAAGAAAATACAAATTGGTCATAAAACATTAGTTTGAGCGTAAAGGCTTCGATTGATAATAAAATATATCGAGAAAAGTGTGGATAAAGTGCAAAAATTGAAAAAAATATTTAGCATTTTTCGTTGTGTAGTGAATTTTTGTTGTAATGGAATTAGCCACAGTTTCTGGATATGATTTAAGGTAAATTATAGCATTTTAAACTTACTGGATCTGCATTTAATGACTAAAAACGACATTGTACAATGTAAAGAATTGTTTAAAGATGAATTAAGCTATAAAAATGCAGTGAAATATGAAAAGAATTGAAATTAATGTTTTTATGGACTGAAATTCTATGATGCTAAGTGGAAAATTATCGCAAAATTCATTGGATTAGGAACATGAAGCTTGAATTTATTGAAAACAAGTATTATATTTCATAACTGGATCATTTTTGTATATTACTGCAATTATAGACACAAATTTTTAACCCAAAATCGCATCTTGACAAACTTTTATTTACATATTAATTCCTTAATAATGAAGCATGCACAGAATCTTTGTGTGTGAAAAAGATCATTTAAAAGTAGGATGGAAAGTTTCTTTTAAGGAAAACTCGGTCCCCTTAAAAAATTTAATTTATCTGCAAAGGAACATAATTCATGCATGTACAAGTTCTTTAAATAATAAAAAGCGACAGAGAAGAAAGACCCGAAAATCCGTCAAGTATGAAGAACGGAACCATCAAGTTCTTGCTATTTATTATTGTTCCCGACCCTTCACATGTGTCTACTTTAAATATAATATATATAGAAATTCAAGATAGAGAAAATGATTACATTTATACACGCTGGTAGCGATGTGTAAAAAAAAGTAATAGGGTGTGTTAAGGAACAACAGCAGCGCGTAACATCTGCTTGAAATAATTTCTCGTAAAGTTAACACTAACACATTGGCACGAAATAGTGTATGATGAGGTCCCGAAAATGATATTCTTTCATTTCAATTGCTATGACTATGACTATGACTATGACTATTAGAAATGAGTGAAATTCCTTTTCTTTTGCTTGCTTCCTTTCAAAAAAAATATTATTACATAAAAGAAAATAATGAAAGGTCTTTGATCTCTTCTTCCTTGCATCTTCTTTTCAGAAGAACAATATGATCACATTTTTAGGGGATGCATTGCTTTATTTAATGATCTGTGCTTATGTAAAAAAAATATAAATATATATAAGGGTGAATATAATGCAAAATTAAAACTATTCAACCTGTAATGAATTAGTCGTGCATTCAGTACTTCCCCTAATGCAATTAAATGTACTTTCTGAATAGGAAGAGAACACAGCATGTTTTAACATGTCTGTGCATGTTGAAAAGTTTACTAAAATTTCGTCAAATTTAAATTCCATTTCAGTCTCTATAATGATGAAATGTCCGAAGAGGATGAAATGTCTACGGACATAACAGATTCATTTGGAGCAGATGGAGAGCGAAAACCGGGTTTAAAGGGTGTTAAATGGACAAAAACAGAAGATACACTACTAAAATCATTAGTAGAGCAGTTTGGAGAAAAGTGGGATTTAGTGTCCAAGCAATTACCCGATAGATCTGACATCCAATGTCAACAGCGATGGACAAAAGTTGTTAATCCCGATTTAATTAAGGGACCTTGGACTAAAGAGGTAATTACTAATTCTTTTCATTGTTTAATTAACTTTTTAATAAATAAAAAAATTATTCCTGTCATACAGGAGGATGATAAAGTTGTTGAGCTTGTTGAAAGGTATGGTCCAAAGAAATGGACACTAATTGCAAGACATTTAAAGGGTCGTATTGGCAAACAGTGTCGTGAACGTTGGCATAATCATTTAAATCCATCGATTAAGAAATCAGCATGGACAGAAGAAGAAGATAATATTATTTATCAAGCACATAAACAATGGGGCAATCAGTGGGCTAAAATTGCAAAGCTCTTGCCTGGACGCACAGATAATGCTATTAAAAATCATTGGAACTCAACGATGCGTCGAAAATATGAAGGTGTGGCTGATCGTGTTGCACAGAAGAAGAAAGAAAGGGAAGAAATTGAGGGACCTGAAGAAGACAAGCCAAAACGCGAGAAACGTTCTTATCGTGTCAATACTGGAAACAGGCCAGAAGACAGAAACATACCAAATAGTTGGATTTATCATGATGATCTTGGTCCAATAACTCAAGAAATTGCAATAACAACAAATGAAGGAGACTTCATTGTATGTCCAATTCCCAGTAAAGTCGATGCAGGCTATAAATCTCCAGCTCAAACTTACTCGATACGTGGAATTGATTATTTAAAATCACCGTCTTCGTACAAAAATATTTATGATAAGCCATACATCATATCACCATTCAAGAATATTGAGAATATCTTTAATGTCCGTAAGCCGATAAAAGTAACGAGTGAGCATTTAGGGGATATTTACAAAGCTGAGCATGTCCCAAATATTTTACGAAAGAGAAAGCCAATTAAAACTGAAGATGAAATATACGAAAATGTAGTATATGGAGGCGTGAGACCAATTAAGCCAGAAATTGAGCGATTAAGAGGAGCACATTCTCCCCCTCCATCAACAACTCCAATTAAACCTTTACCATTCTCACCGAGTCAGTTCTTTAACTCACCAGCTAATAATTTGGCGTTTGCTGATGGAGTTTCGTCAAGTACACCAGTTAAGCATCCACAAGAACACGATTCAAGCTTACTGTCCACACCAATTGTTAAGGATTCAGGCAAGGACGGCAAAGATTATGACACAAAAACACCATTGAAGAACAAACTTATTGCTGGATTAGCTGAGTCTTCAGGAGTCACTCGAACACCGACTCCCTTCAAAAATGCAATGGCTGAAGTTGGTCGACGACGATCAGAATTGTAAGTATACTTTTTATTTTTATTGATAACTTTAACGAAGCTTTAGATTTTGAATTTAATTGCTTTTATTTTGAAAGTCGATAACATTCAAGGCGTGGAAACTATCCAAAATATCATATTTATCCCACATATCCCAAAAATATTCAAAAAATACGTGAACATGTATGCACGTTAATAAAGATATCCCAACGTATCCTTAGTGTTATGGACGTGTAATTTTAGGATATGATGGGAAATCTCAATTCTAATGCATACAGGCTTAGTGATTATTTTGAATATTTTTGGGATATATGGGATGAATGGGATATTTGGGATAGTTTCCACGCCTTGATAACATTTGAATTTTTGAAAACCGTTATTTTAATAGACACTCGATTTTAAAAGTCAAAAAACATTTGAATTTTTGAAAACCGCTTAATTTTATATCTCTTATTTTAATCAATTTAGATATGTTCCACCAAGTCCAAATCGTTTAGATGAAGATATCAGTGAAATAATGCAAAAAGAGGGATCTGACAATGATTCACAAGAAGGTGATGATTCGAAAGAAAATGAAAGACCAGCTAAGAGAATGAGAACCGATGATAATGATGACAATCAAGCATGGGAAAATTCAGACATGAATTTCCTCGTTGAAACACCGGTAAGTTAATAAATCTGCACATTCTTAAAAATTCTCCTTAAACATAATTTTCTGATTAATTTAATTAAATAGAGTAAGACGCTTGCTTCAGACTCTGGGGTCATTTTCTCACCACCAAGTATAATGCGGGATGCATTAGATGATTCCGAACTTTATTTGAACGACGATGAGGATGGTTTATGCTTTAGAAGACGAAATCAGGACCCAGCAGATAAGGTAAAGCTATAAATTTCAATTTAATAAATTTAATTTTTCTTAATCTTGACCTTCTTTTAAAATTAGATTCTGGATCCGAAATGGGAAAAGTATACATGTGGTCAGACGAAAGATCAAATTTACATGACTCATTTAGCCCGCATGACTTTAAAGAAGACAACTTTACAGCCCCGTTCCCTTAATTTTTACACTAATAATTAAGGATGTTCTTATATAAAAATTTTATATAACCATTTGGTTAACGTCCCCCAAAAAAAAAACAGAGAATCGACATATATTTGGGATTTCAAAGATTTTTTTTGTTCGTTCTTTCGGTTGATAATTTTGATTCTTAAATTTTCCAATATAATGTATAAAGAGAAAGTACTTTAATTAACAATCAAATCATAAAATAATGGTTATAGCCACGTCAAGGAAGCGAAAGTGTAATTTTAAAGATGAAGATAGCTTTTATTTATTCCTTCAGAGTTGATGAGTATGGAGCAACGAATATTGAAATCTATTGCTATAAGGCTACTACATAATATCATTTAATTATATATAAGTTTATGACAGAATCCAATGATTTATAAGTGCATATACAAACAAATAATTTAGTGTTTTGCTCTTTATTTTTCTCCTGCATACCTATTTTAAATGTGCTTATTAAGTAATTATTCTAATTTCCTTAAGTATTTTCATATTTTTCGGTATGATTTTTAAAAAGGTTTCCTTTCATAATATTGTTAAAAAAAAAAGTTTAATTTTCATTGGTTTTGGTAGATTTTTTTAATTCATACAAAGAAGCATGGTGCGCACATGCTGCTAACATTTTAGCCGTCATTATTTGAATTTGAAACCAAAAATAAACTCAGTTTTAAATTTTAGAAAACCGTTAAAATTTGAATTTAAGAAACCGTTAAATTTATATAAAGATAAAAACTAATCGCTAATAAGATTGTTCGGTTGAAGGACGGAATTAAGGCGCACCTAGCTAAGAAAAATGTGTAGTGAAGCATATTAAAAACACAGTAGATTAAGTTTGTGATAGATTTCATTTTTATTGAATTTCTTTTCGATTGTATGACTTTTATACACACAAAATTAATTAATTCATTGTCGGATATCCTTTGTAATAAGTGTAAAAATAATTTTTCTCTTGAATTTCCAATAAAAATTACGATATCAACAAAAAAAAATAATCTAGTGCTTTACAATGAATCCGATACTTTTGCAGCAACATTTCTTAAATTTCCATAGACTTTTGAGGCAGGGGAACCCAGAATCAAGTTACTAATTGCTCTTTTTGCTAGCTGAATACTTTTATAGCAGCCAAGGACGTGAATTTTAGAATCTGCCAAGACTATACGTGTTTTTGTAACATTTTCTATTGTGAATTTTGTTCTTCCTCCTTTGCCTGCCAATCGTCCTATACATCGACTCAAGTGATCTCCTCTAAGTGTCTTGACATCCTTAATTTCAAATGATTCAACAAAAAGATCTTCTAATCTTAATAATGCAAGTGCATCCTCAACTTCAAAACCTAAAATGAATGCTTTCACAAAATCTGTAGCTTTTTGGAGACTTGCATCACTGTCTGTCAATTCCTTTTGTGGCTGTCTGATCTCAACTTGGCGAGTCTTGATATTATATCGAATCTGTAACTTCATTTGCTCAACTACTGGACTAAATATCTTCATCCAGTTATCCTTTAATGGTGCTATCCTAAAATTCATTAAGATACAATTGATTAGACTGAGAAACTTGAATTATTATTATTATTATTATTAACCTATGAATTGGAACTGCAATTTTTCGTGTATTCATTATTCTCTGTATCTTGACATTCTCACTATTATGATCTGTTGTTGCTGTTGACTTTCTTTTCCTGCTTTCAGTTGGTGCTGGCATCATTTCCACGTCCATTTTTTCACAAAATAATGATTCTTTTAATTAATTTTAATGAAAATACGCAAATGTTTTTAAGACAAGCTCGTTGTGAGGACTTCTCAATCTATTTTTCTCTCACGGTCCACGACAAACTGGCTGTTTGTGACATAAAGCTTGAGAACTTCTGGATATTAAGCTCCAACCTCTGCACTGCTATGCACTTTCAAGTGTAGAACTCTAGTGGAAAAGTTAAAAACTGCTTTTGAGGTGCTTAAACAAAAGCGAATGTAGCTTTATGTATTAGGATATCATATTAAAACCTGATAAGTCGGTAGAACGTTAATTAAAATAAAGTTAAAAAAATAACAATCAAAAAATATTCAAAGTATGGAACTATATTCACAAAAAAACTATAGAATTTGCCGCTATTGATGTATTAGTTCTTAAAAATCAAAAGCTACAAAAAAAATCACTCTAATTAAGGTAAAAAATCACAAGTAAACAACAAAGTTACACTTCATATAACATTAAGAATGCATAGCAATTGAGACGAGAAGATACAGTGAGGAGAAATCTGGATAATTTATGAAATAGTCATTGTGCAAGACGTAAAAGGCATTTTGTACGCAGAAATGCTGTAAAAATTTAGAGTTAAGGAATTTAGGATTTATAAATAATAATAATTAAATATTTAATAATAATCTGTGAGTTATACATAACAAGTACCAGTGAAATCTTGAATGTGTGGATCGATAAAATTAAGTGAACATTAATGATTAATTCTCGCCCACACACAAAAGGAAATTTATAGAAATTATAGAAAAATTCATATTCCAAAAAAAAGAAGGAACGAAAATTTTTCGAGGAACTTTTAATTTCCTCATTATCTATCATTCAGTTGAAATCAATTCGTTATCATCACATAAAACTGTATAGTTTAAAAGCAATAGACAATGTCAAAAAAACCGAGGCCTGGAATGAAATTAGTTATAGCTGAACAATCACCTCCAATTCAAGTTCTATCCCCACCAAGGAATTTGGACAAGAAAGCTACTATTACGATTGACGATAAAACGTTTGAAGTAGAGGCTGATGATTTGGAAAAGATTGCCGATTTAGGTCGCGGTGCGTATGGAGTTGTTGAGAAAATGAAGCACATCAAAACAGCTACAGTAATGGCAGTCAAGAGAATCACAGCGACAGTTAATACACAAGAGCAGGTTTGTTCATTTCCATCAATTATTAATGACTGATAAAATTATATAGACGATGTCATTTACATTTAGAAACGATTACTTATGGACTTGGATATATCGATGCGCTCTAGTGACTGTCCATTTACAGTGCACTTTTATGGCGCTCTTTTTCGCGAAGGTGACGTTTGGATTTGTATGGAAGTTATGGAATGTAGTTTAGATAAATTTTATCCTATCGTCTTTAACAATAATCTCAAAATGCCAGAAGGTCAGTTACCAACCTAAGCTGCTTAATTAAATTATATAATCCTTAATTAAACCATCTACAATTTATTGATTATAGACATTTTGGGCAAAATATCGGTTGCCGTCGTTAATGCACTTCACTATTTACATTCAAAATTACACGTGATCCATCGTGACGTTAAACCGTAAGTTATATATGTATTACATACTATTTACAAAACTTAAAAGTACTACATTCACGACTTGATATATGATTTCTGTGCGAAAAATTTGCCTTTGATCTCGTTCGTTGTCATGCTTAGGGTTTGGGGAACCTGTTAACAGAAAACAGAAAAACAGCTGTTTTTTGACAAAAATCTGTTAACGGAAAACAGATCTGTTTTCTGTTTTTCGTTTTTTAAAATATAATTTACCGAAAAAAATTCATTAATATTTTTTAAAGTTATTAATGAAAAATTAAGAAATAATAATGCTTATTTCTATATTGAATGGTTACAACTGCTTATAACCACCAAAAAAATTTTTTATCGTAGAACATAGGTTTGCTCAGTTTATTTTGAATTGTGGAAAAACAGGAAAACAGCTGTTTTTAAAAATTAAAAACCGAAAACAGACTGTTTTTCAAAAACAGCTGTTTTCCACAAACCTTAGTCATGCTGATAGAAAACGCTTTCTCTTGTAGTTGCTATGACAATCACTTAATATGTTTGGACTCCTATAGACCACAAATCCATCAATGCCTATAATATTAAATTAATTAACGTTGTTTGCAGATCAAATATTCTCATAAATCGTCGGGGTGAAGTAAAAATGTGTGATTTTGGCATTTCTGGATATCTTGTTGATAGCGTTGCAAAAACTTTAGATGCTGGCTGTAAGCCCTACATGGTGAGCTATAAATAAATTAACTGCCTGTTAATAAAACGAATTTACAAAATTCGAAACTTCATTTTTACAATTTTTTTCAAGGCCATAGAACTCCCTGCACTATGTCTGCAATTGCTACGTTTTTACTCAACTTTACAAATTTTTACTTATGTTTCAGTACACTTACTATACAATGTATCACAATCACTGCAATTATTAAACTTTACTGCACTTAAATCCTCTTTACTCCTCTTTACTACACTTAAGTACACTAAATTATACTTTACTACACTTTACTATAATTTACCACATTAAGCTTAAATTTACCACACTTTAGTGCACTTTACTCCTACTTTTCTATACTTTATTTTTAATCAAATTAATTATTGAATAATTTGAATCTAAATAGTTAAAGGTCTCTTAAACATGTGGTCCATTAATACGTCATACTCATACTTTCAAAAAAAATAAAAGATTTTGTAACCATTTTAAAAATTTAAAAGAAAATGTTTAAAAACTTAACTAAAGGTTTTAGAATTAAAATATTATTTTTTAGCGCATTTTTGAAACTTGTTTTCAAAAAGGTAGCTTAATAACGCACTATGGTCGGCTGGTCGGCTGGTCGGCTGGCTGGTCGGCTGCTAAGAAAAACTTTTAATCTAGACATCGTAGAGAGTTCTAGTTTTTTGCATTAGTTCCGTTATATCGAGTTATTGGCCCGCCGGACATTTAAAAATCTCAAAACATAACATTAATGTGTTAAAAATAGAATTTTCTAAAAAAATTAGAGTTCTACACTCCGAACTTCTACACTATCCGAACATTTGATGGGAACTTCTACACTGTCAGACTGGATAATTTGAATTTCAAAAAACTGTTAAATCAAAATCGTTTTGAAATCCGAGAATATGTTGTGGAATCTATGTATTTATGCTGAAATTATGATTTTATGTTTATTTTATAACGGTTGAAAAAATTTGAATTTTTCACACCAAAAGTTGTAAACAACGAAACAGTGAAAAATACATTTTTCTATAAAGTTTAATTAATTAAATAATAAGGTAAAATTAACTTTTAAAAAGCTAAAAATTGTATAACTATTTTGTTAACTTGTTTTAGAACATGCCAAAACGAAAGACAAAGCCTTTGACTGTAAAAAAGGACTTGGAAAAGAAGAAAAAACAAAAAGTTGCTAATGCTGAAAAAAATCAAGAAAAATTGGATCGTGACAACGAATTAAGACGAGAAAAGCGATCCGATCCGGATTATTTAGAAGCCGAATCATCAAGAGATTTGATAAGCCGTCAAAATCGTCGATCGGACCTCGAATATTTACAAGCTGAATTGTCAAGAGATTCAGTAAGTCGTCAAAATCGTCGTTCGGATGTGGAATATTTACAAGCTGAATTGTCAAGAGATTCAGTAAGTCGTCAAAATCGTCGTTCGGATGTGGATCATTTAGAAGCTGAATCTGCAAGAGATTCGGTAAGTCGTCAAAATCGTCGTTCGGATGTGGAATATTTACAAGCTGAATTGTCAAGAGATTCAGTAAGTCGTCAAAATCGTCGTTCGGATGTGGATTATTTAGAAGTTGAATCAGCAAGAGATTCAGTAAGTCGTCAAAATCGTCGTTCGGATGTGGATCATTTTGAAGCTGAATTGTCAAGAGATTCAGTAAGTCGTCAAAATCGTCGTTCAGATGTGGATTATTTAGAAGTTGAATCAGCAAGAGATTCAGTAAGTCGTCAAAATCGTCGAGCAAAGCGAATTCCGTGGAACAAAGCAATCGAGACATACAATGCAATTGTTAAAGACGGTCCATATCATCGATGTTACTCGTGTGATCGATTGTTTTTTAAGACGCAAGTATCGGTAACGACTCGTGAAAAACTACAAGAGAAACGAGGATGTACTGACGCATATATAACTGGACTCATAATTTCCGAATTAATTGACGATCCCGAGTTCATTTTCTGTTCAACTTGCATGGCTCATATTCGTAAGCAAACATACTCGAAGTTGAATATTAATCAGTCGAACTTGAAGTTTCCTGATGTTCCTGACTGCTTAAAGAAGCTGACTCCATTAGCGGAACGATGTGTAGCAGCTCGAATTCCATTCATGAAGATCGAACAAGCTAATTATGCAGGACAATTAAAGATAAAATCCGGTATAGTTAATGTTCCCATCGATGTTTCAACTGCAGTCAACGCAATTCCGAGATCGGTGGACGATACACATGTCATTGAAGTTTCGTTAATGCGAAAAATGTCTTACAAGAACCCTTACATTCGAGAACGTGTTCGACCAGCTGATGTATGGGCTGCTGCAGAATATTTATGCCAAACGCCACTTTATACTGAATTTGGCATTACATTAAATCAGGAATTTAATCCTGCAGGTAATGTTTGTTTATAAATTGTGCCAATGTGTTTACATAAAATTTAAATTTCTTTATAGTTAGTGCTGTTGAACCTGACAACGAAACCGTCAATACTAATAACGAGTTGCAATCACGAGATACAGTTAACTTAGAATCGCCTTCAGAGCCAGAACCAGTCGAGCCTACCGATCGTCATTTACCGGAAGAAACGTTACTCGATTCAATGGAAGCAATGCAGTTCGTACCGGAACTCGATCCATCGGATGCCATTAGAATTGCTCCAGGTAACAATTCATGATACTTTTTGAAAGTCATTGACTAAAAACATTTTTCAATCTGTAATTACAGGTGAAGGCCGAAATCCGATTCCAATGTTTATGGACAAGTATTGTGAAGAGTTGGCGTTTCCAACAATATGGTGTGGTCAGCAGAGAGCAATGCCACCAGATGGTCAAAAAGCATTGTCGAATCTGGATTACGTAAATTCGGAAATTCGTAGATATGACCGTCGAGCCTGTCGTCCCGATCATATTCTATACTTATATAAGAAGTCTCAAATTGAACAACTTACAAAGCAAGCAACTGTTATTCTTCGAAAAAGTACTCAAAATAACAACATCACAGCCGGTCAAGTAGCAAATAAACAGTTTCTCGATAATGCTGTTAATAACGATTCCGCATATCGATTTATGGCAGCGATAACAGGAAGTCCACCATATTTCGAAGCTCAGAAGAAGAAAGTAATGGCGATGGTTCGACAGTTCGGTGGATTTACTTTCTTCGTTACGAACTCGGCAGCAGAAACTCATTGGCCGGAATTACTTGTTATCCTTAAAAAGACTGTGGACAAAGCTGACATTTCTGGTGAAGAGGCAATGGATTTGACATTTGAAGAAAAATCTCGACTAATAAGTTCGGATCCAGTTACGTGTGCCCAGTATTTCTACCATCGACTAAAAGCGTTGTGGAAAACATGGGAAGCCGAAGACGGACCATTCGGAAAGTACAAGATAGCACACAAATATTGTCGTATCGAATGGCAACATCGGGGATCGCCGCATGCTCATCAATTCGTCGATTTGAAAGACGCACCCAAGTTCAATCCTGACGATCCGGATTCGTACAAGCGAGTTTGTGAATTCATTGACGAAATAGTCACAACTGATACCGATGATCCGGAAGTTTCTAGCATAATATACGTACAGAAACATCGATGCACTCACACATGCAAGAAAGGAAGAAGAGGAAAGGAAACATGCCGATTTAATGCACCTTTTTTGCCACTTCCACAAACAATGATACTAGAGCCAATTCCGGATACGATGGTCTTAGCACAAGCGAAAAAGGACTTACTTCGAAAGATTAATGAGAATCTGCATGACATACTCGAATCGGAAGCAGCGAGTTCGTTATCGTTCGACGATTTACTAGATAAATTAGGATGCAGTTTTGATGACTATCTCCTTGCTGCACGAGCAAAACTTAAGTCACGAAAGGTTTTCGTTAAACGACTGCCCAAGAATGCCCGAATAAATCCATACAACAAGAAGATGCTTATTGCAATGAGATCAAATATGGATATTCAATTTATACTGGACGTGTACTCCTGTATTTGCTACGTGGTCGACTACGTCAACAAAGCCGACAAAGGACTATCTCGGTTATTGCGACAATGTATCAAGGATTACGAACGTGGCAATCACAGCATTAAATCGAAACTCAACGCACTTTCGAAAGTCCTGTACAATTGCAGTGAAACATCGGCACAAGAAGCGGCTTGGATTCGACTCCGGCAACCGATGTGTATGTCTTCCGATGTCGTAGAATTCATTCATTCTGGTCCGAAATCGGTAAGTGATAAATACTTTTCAAATTAAAATAAAACCTTAATTTCTTACATTATTTCAAGCAACGACAACGAATGTTAAAGACGAATGCAGAAATCGACAAACTTATGAAAACTGACCCTAATAGCACTGACATATACAAGAAAGGACTAATTGATCGATATAGTGACCGACCTGAAGAACTCGGAAACGAATGTCTTGCAGATTTCATTGCTAAATACAACTACAAACCGAAAGGTCGACCAGTCAATGACAACACTGAAGAAGGAGATATTGCTAATGACGCTGAAGAACTCGAAATAGTCGATGACGATGAACAGACCAATCCACTCGAGAAGAAAACGTTTGAATTAAAGAACAATAGTGGAACTATTACACGAAGACGACGACCGAAAGTAATTAGATACTGCCGCTTCAATATCGCTCAAGATGAAGCGAATTATTATCGGGAAATGTGTTTGCTGTTCTTGCCGTGGAGAAATGAAGATACTGATATCGAGTCACAGAATTGTTCCGAATTATTCCATCAAAATGAAGCCACCATCAAAGAAAATTATGACAAATACAATGCAGTTTCTCTAGACTTAGAACAAATGTCTAGAGATATACAAAATGAACGACTATTGGAAGAAGCCGATGCTGAAGACCGTGAAGATGTTGAACAAGCTAATCCGGATTTCCAAAACGTATACGACTTTGATGATACAATTGTTCAACCGAATGCGGCAGTCGAAATGGGAATGGAAGCACCAGAATCTAATACAGTCGTCAGTCGTTATAAGGTTCCCGAT